TACTCCCGAAAACTTGGTGATCCAACCCATCCATCGATATCTGAAATTCTTCCACCCTCTCGTTCATCATATTCTTCTTCTTCTTCCTCGTCATTATGTATTCTGAACTTCTCCTCTTCTATATTCCCCTTATAATTAATCTCTCTGTCTTTATCCTCTCCTACTAATTTTTTGTTCCCCACGTTTTCATTAATAATCTCTTCTTTTGCGTGAGTCTGGTTTTCCATTTTATCTCCACTTTTGACGAGGGAATGGACGGAACCGGGATTTGTCTTTGGTGATTCATTGTATTTCCAGTTGAGGGGGCCATCATCTTCATCATGCAGGTGGAATCTGGAAATGCCGCAACCCATTGGAAGAAATCATACAGATAGAAAGGGAGAGGTAAAAAATAATAAAAGAAGACGATTGAGAGAAGATGCATAGAAAATGGGAAGGGACATAAATTAGAGAGAGTTTTCATATGGAATATGTTAATTTGCAACGCCCAATAAAATGTGGTTAAAATGTAAAGGAGGAGTAAGATTTTTGGATCATATATTTCCTTCTTTTTTTTTTTTTTTTTTATTCAGATATCCCAGCTTACACTAGAGAAAATCCTGGACCCCCAAGACCCTTGCTCCTAGGACCTTGGAGGGGGTAAATCGCGGGTTATGCCTCAACTGGATCACAGGTTCCCCCCCCCACTGCCTATACACTTTTGCGCACAAGAGATCCTCCTCCAAAGTGATTGCCCCATACCAAATAAATCTGGCCGCAGGTTCCCACTAGAATTCGAACTTCCATCTTGCCGCTGGAAGCAAGACAATGTTGATTGATCCACCAGTTGAGCTATGCCCCGGGGGGCTTGGATCATATATTTCTTCATCCTATTGTATATAATATACTTGTATTCTCGATATTTCTAAGAAAAGATTATAACTTAGGAGGGTATATGCAATTAACCGTAAAGTTGTTTAGGTCGTAGGGACCATGGTTTGCAGAGAGCCTTTATCAGAGAAAACTATATAATTTAAGCAAAAAATATTAAATTCTTATAGTTTCTGTTGACCTTGATTTACGGTTGGACATTATCACTATTAGAAAGAGCGGCAATAGGGACAGAATTTTAGCAACGGATGACTAGTGTTGCTATTAACGACGGATGTACAACCAATCAACAACAGATTATTATTTTATTATGTTTACAAAATATATATTAAATCACCATCAGAATTACCAAATGTAAGACTTCCTATTACTACAATTCCATTTCTAATTCGTAGGTAAAAAAATTTAAAAAAAAATTAAATATTTTTTCAATGGATTTTAAAATGAATTATTTCGTTAAAAACTAGATAAAAGAGTAAAATAATTACCAACGGAAAAAAAAAAATTTGTTGGTGAACTTATGAAGAAATTAAAAATAATTAAATAGTTACCTATGGAAAAAATTCTGTTTGAAAATTTTGAAAAAAAATATCTATATCTGTCGATTTTCCTACAGAAACTATCTGTGACTAATTTTACAAATATTTCATTTGGCTCTAAAAAATTCCTTTTGGTATTCAAATTTTTCATTTTCCCAACACTTTTCACTTGCCCACGAGGTTTTTTAGTTCAAAGCTTAGTGCATGATTCGTAGTGTTTTTTCTATCCAAAAAATCAATTTTTAACCATTATTTCACTATTACAACTTTTATTTTTGACTTTTTCTCTCACGGATAGAAGCTACATTTCTCTCTAACGATCAAAATATCAATTCTCAAAATCACTATCGAACAAGCCCTTAGTCATATTCCAAAACCCCAACCTCAAATTCGTAACTTCCTCTCTTCTAAAGTGTGCCGCCTCCGTCTCTCTCTTCGAGCACATTCAGAGTAAAGGAACCTCAAATTTCAATCTCCATTATCATCGATATCATGGCCCATTTTGTGGCCCCAATCGCATATCCATTATCACTCTTAGGTAAGTATTCCCATCCCCTCTAAAGATTTTTGCAGATTTCATGTTCTATTTTTGTTTTTTTACTTCCATGGATATTTTGAAGGTGGGAGGGAATAATTATTGGAGAACCCAGAGATATATTCATAAATTTGCTGGCTAATTTGGCTCGTGGAGGATATCCTGCTACTTCTTCTTCTACATCAAATCATTGAACAGGAAAAAAATCATAATTATCTTCTTGAGGAGAAGGGTCATGTTACAAATATCAATCCAATTGGCAATTCTCCAATCATAATAAAAATGGTAAATCTAGTCATGCTTTTGCATTTACTAAGAACGTGCACGATTTATTTTGAGATAAAGATTTTATATCATCTTTACATTTCTGATTTATTGATTCGTTATCTCTTAAGAAAGTTTACACCATTTTTCAATTGACTTATTCAGGGCTTCCTGGAGAAAATTGCACCTATCTGGATGAATGTTTCTCTGAAAATGAAAAATGACCCAAAGACAGAATACTTTTGGATGGATGCTAGAAATGTGAGAAGATCTGAAAGTGTTCTATTTCTTATGTGTCAAAACTTGCATCAACAAGTAAAAAGCTTCTCTAACCTTCTCTTTTTATTGACCAAACAATGGTATGCATATGCTGCGGCCTCTACTTTTCATGGAGTGCAGCATATTCTCTTCAAGGACTTTATGTTGCAGGTTCGATATCCGAACTGTTACGAACAATGTATAATCTCGTTTTCACAGTTCAATGGCATATGTAATTTGAAGCTAATGTTTAATAATTTACCATGTCAAATTTCAGCCCCTATCGAATGTTGAAACTAGAAAGAAATTTATCCTCCATTTTACTTATGGAAGTGACTACAACATGAAGGTAAACTTGTGTTTCTATTTTCTTATAGCATTATAATTGAGAAGTTCATATAACGCTTGTGAACGCTGCTTTTCCATTTTCTTTTTGTGAATTATTGAGAATAGCGTACTTTCACTTTACCCTGTAATATTGACTAGTTTTGTAGAGAAATTATGAGGCTGTTGATATGCTCAGGATGAACTAAAATATGGAAGATTTGGAGAGTGGAGATTCGATAAGAGATCATATCTTTGCTCCTAAAAATCACTCCTTACCAAATATGCCAATTTTTTTGTTACGATTTTATAATTACTTTGAAGTAAGTATTCCCTCCCACCTTCTAAGAATTATGAACGTTTGTCTATTCATAGTAAGAGGCCAAGAAGAGATCTATTAAGAGAAAGATTTATTCAAGAGAAAATCTTAACAGTTACATCCAGTCGACTCTGTGGATTCTGTTTATTCTTCTGAATCTCGATCCTTTTGTCAGGTGAAATCAAAGGGCATTACTTGAATGTTACTGCAGGTACATGCTAAGAAATGATCAGCAATGGCCTCAAAGCTTCAGGGGATTCATCCAAAATGAATAAACCTGGCTGATGGCTTGACATGTACCCTCTCTTCCAGGTCCATCACAAGAAAACGAAAACCAAGATTTGCTAGTCTCATTAGTTAATAGTAGAGCTTAGCTGGACTAAGTGAGGGAATACAATGAGCCACATTCGAGACCAGGGCAGGTGCTCCGCAACAGCAGTAGTAGTGAACATTGCTACTGAAGAAGGGATAGGCAGTATAGTGGCATGGGGCTTAATCAAAGAATGAAAAGTCTTTACATTTTTTAATAGAAAATGCATTTAGATATATATTGTTCAATAAATATGTAATTTTTCATTCTTTAAAAGATATAATGTGCTTGTGATAATTTTCCCACTAAAGAAGTTGGTGTTGCATATTGTTATGTTAGAAATGCTGACACTTTTCTATTCTTTCTTACTTTGAGTTTGTCGCGAACTGTACACCCTTATAATCCACTGAAGACTATTGATTAGACTTGGCGTCTTGGCTTAATAGTGTGTTTCACCATCATATATGCATTATCATATTTTACACTGTATTGTATTAGAGTATTGATTCAACAATTGCAAGTTATGTTATCATTTAAGATTGAATTATTTGGAAGATTTTTTTTTGGATCTTTGTCCATTTATTTTTTGGACACTAATATCCAGTCAAATTAATGCATTGGCCATGTATATTGCTGTCAAATTTTGTGATCTACAACATTTATTGCCTTAAGTTTCTTAAGTTTTTTGCACCAACTTTATTTGGTTATAGGTATCCACCTTTCTTGGATTTATATCTATCTGAAATGACATCTGTTCTTGATTTTATGATGTCCAAGTCATTTTATTGCATTTGAATGGTGATGAGTAGTAAGTTGCACTGAAGTAAGAATTATGATGACATTGAAATTTATGTTCTCCTTCATGTAATGCTTAATTCTTCTATTGCAAGTGTGTAAAGGGGCTGTTGTGATGCTCGTCTCCCCACTGAAGGAATGTTGTGATCTATTTTTGTGGACTTGATCTCATGTATTCCTTATGTGAAGGTTTTGTTGTATTACCCCTCTCTTTATGGATTACATAGCTTATAGATATGTTGAATTTCTGGTGCATATATTACTTTTCATTAGGTGCTAGTTAACCGAACCAATTCATTTTTTTTTTCGATTTAAGTACATTATGTAGCTACTCAAATGAGGATTTGTGTTTTGATGTTTTTCTTAGTAAAAAATGAGTAGTTTTCTTATGATCTTGATGACATTTATAAATTTGATTTAGTTTCAGTTGTTTGATTTTAAAAAAATCTTGTGAACTTGTTTCCATAAATCTAGAAGAAACTCAAAATTCTTGTTTACTTGAGTCTATTGTGTTTTTGTGTGACTTTCATGCTAATAAGCATAATTTTTTTTTTTAAATTTTAAATTCAAATTCGCGATAGAATTAACAACGGAAGTTCGTTGCTAATTATTGATGGATTTTTAATCAGTAGGTATTTTGTGACGGCAATTTGTTGTTGCTAATTAGCTACGACAATAGTCTTCGATAAACATCAACAAAATTTTTTTGTCGTTAAATTATCGATGGTCATTGAATTTCGTAGGTAAATTAGCGGTGCCAATTTCAGTCTTAGATTTACTGACGGAGAATATCTATTGGTAAAACTCATTACCAACGGAATTCATGGCATTAGCGTCGATATTTTTCGTCTCTGAAGCCGCATTTTTTTTGTAGCGCATGGCCAATTGATTTGACTCCACTCACGTCTACGTTTAAGTCTTTTATACACAATACAAACCGTAGGAAGCATGTAACCTTCTTCGGAGATAGGAGAGGCGACCACGAATACTTTGATGATTAAGTCAGTCAACTATAGAGGTGAGCGTTGGATACGTAATGAACATAAGACGTAAGCTATAAAAGTTCGTAAGGGCATGGTTGTAGATAGGAAAGAATGAGCTAAGTTACAAGTTAAAAGTATAAAATACCATTACCTGTAAATGACATTAAATATGAGCTTTTATAGTAGAAGAGTGAAGTAATTACCGGTGGACGAAAGATATGTGGTCTCATCTCAATATCGACGCGTCATCTCCTTAGGTGTCACTTTTGCATCCTAGGTTCATAGGGCATTTAATGATTATGAAAAGTGGTCTTATCATCTAGGTCTGACATCTAAAAAAGTAGGCTAACGAGTTAACTAAGGGATGTCTATTGCAGAGAGATCGTATCAATTAATTGTACGAAAAATCTTATATGAAGGATCTCATGGATGAGGCGAAGCTATGAAAGATTTCTCATGGAGTGTAGTTTGAGGTGACTTTTTAGTTGGCTGCCATGTAGCCGATGGTTGGATCCTCTTAGGGTAAGGTGTAAAAATTGTGCCCCCAAGTCTAGACGTAAATATTCGTACAAGGCATGGACTTTGGTACGAAGAGAGAGAGAGAGAGAGAGAGAGTACATAATAAGGAAGTGTCTATGAACTGCCTCTGATGTTTAACCTAGCTGAGGTGATGAAGTGATTGAGGTTGGAAAAATGGTGATGCTTTGGCATACAGTTTTTTATATTTATCAATGCGTTGGACATTTTATAGTGGTCCTTATTTATCTAAGTTCTAGCACGAATACTTATAAAATGTGTAGGCTTGGAATGCTGATGAGGCATGTGTACCAAGCATAGAGACAAAATTTTAAAATTAGGATAAGGACTTGCACGACAAAGGTGTTAATGCAGAGGCGAAGTCTCATTCTAAGAGCGAGACACCTACACTTGGGAAATTGTAGTTGTAAAGTTGAAGTCTCATGTTCCAATGATGAAGCCATTTACTTAGAAGAAACATTAGGTATGGAGGAAAAGTCCTATGTTTTAGTAATGAGGCCTCTGGAAGGTAGAGGAAACATTTATAGCTCTTGATCTATCCTCCGTAACCCTTAAACTTGTATTTGGTTCCCATTTGTAAGTTTGTTACCTTCCCCAGATCACATCATCCCCCCTCTCTTCGAAAGGATTTGACCTTGAATCCATACCTTGAAGATCTAAGTTATAGCCATTGTCCTCAATCAGGATAATGATATGAAATGACCCATCTCCTCTAGGATGAAACCTTGATCTTTTTTGCATTTGAAAACGCCCTTTTTGTCTACGAACCCGACCCCAATCACCTGGTTTGAATACTTTACTTCTTTTCCATTTGCTACCTTGAGATGTATATAATTCAATCTCCATATCATAGTTCAATGCTTTTCCTTCAAAGCTTATCAAATTCTCCACTTACACATATCTAATTGAGTATTCAATGGTTGGTATGCCACTAGTTAAGTTTTCACGGGATAAGTTTTTGAATTCCTATATCAAAGAAATATTCAAATTGGTGAGGGATTTGTTAGTCTCATCAAAGCACTCTCAATCTCACTCTTTTTTACATAGAAACTCACTTTGAATTTTTCTATAATCTCAGGAGACTCTCTTTCTTCTCTCCTACTCTCATGTTGTATCTCTTTGCTTTTCTTTTCTTCCTCACCTCTCAACCTCAATTGGCCCTCATAGACTTGTTGTAGTGTTAAAGGTAAAGTTGTACCTATTCTTGAATTCATCATACTTCACCTTCATATCATATTTCCATGATCTACCCATAAAAATATGCCCAGCAAGCATAGGAACTACGTCACTTAGTACTTCATCACTATACTTCCCAATAGAGAAATTTACTAGTACTCTCCTATTCACCTTAACTTCTTCACAAACATCTAACCACTGTAATTTATAAGGCTTGGGATGTTTTGTCATAGTCAATCCTAATTCCTCAACAAATATGGTACTAGCAATATTAGTACAACTATCCTATTAATAATCAAACTACATACCTTATTTTTGACATGGCATCTAGTATGAAAGATGTTCTCTAGTTGTTGTTCCTCATCATCCACTTTGGTTTGTGTATTGAGAGCACGCATCACCTCAAGTGCTTCCTCTTCGACAAGGTACGAACTTAAAGTATTTGATATCCCGACTTTTAGAAGGCTGGGAATCCTCCTTAGGTGTAGCAATACTAGCAACTTCCTCATTTTTCCTTGGTGGTTCAGTCTTACGATTGGAAATAGCCATATCACCTCCATTACCATCCCACTTTGGCTTTTACGAAGTGTTAGAACCCGATGGGTAGTTAGCTATCCCCTTCCTCTTCAATTGTCTCTCCATCTTCATAGCCATATGTAGCATATCCTCCAACTCCACATGGTGTTGAAATTCCACTACATTAGCTATTTCTCTATCAATCCATTCAAAAACCTAGCCATTGCGGCTTCCCAATCCTCCTCCATATTTGCTGTTATCATCAACATCTCCATCTCCTTGTGATAATCCTCACACTTACAGAACCTTGGTAGAGGCCTTGTAACTTTTGATGAAGCTTCCTATAATAGTGACTAGGCATAAACCTTTTCCGTATGATATCCTTCAATTTCTCCCATGTGTTAATCATCATGGTTCCTCTTCCTTGATGTCACCACTTGATCCCACCAAGTTATTGCATAATCGGTGAATTCAAGGACTGCAATTTTCACCTTCTTTTCCTCAGAATAATTGTGGCAATCAAAAATCAATTCCACCATTTTCTTCCATTCTAGGTAAAGCTTTTGGATCACTGCTACCCTTGAATGACGAAAATGTCATTTTAATGTTACCCATAATTCTATCCACTTCGTCTCCAACAAGATTTTGATTCCTTCTTTCAAACGTAGCTCCTCTATTCCTCATTCTCCATGTTTTAGCCTTAAGTAATGCTTCTTTATCTAAGTCACTATCGTCATCATATTCTACCCAAGTCTCCACCCTAGGCTCTCGCCTACCTTACCTCATTGCATTGGGTGTTTCCCTTCGTAGATTGGCAAGCACTAGATCTTGCATTTCCATCCATGCCTCCTATCTATCCAACCTATCCCACACATCTTCAAACAATATTTTAAACCCCTGTATCACCTTATCCGACATGTTGACTTGATTATGGTCTTGCTTGAGGTTGAATCTTCATTGTCATAAATCATAAATCTAATTTATTATCTGCCTCACATATGTACTCTTCTATACCACTCAATTTGACTTTTACCTTCTAATAGTCTCATCACTCAACCTTTTTCCACTCAATGTTTTCGCCTAGTGCTTCAAAGAACAATTTCAAACTGAACCAGGAATTATTATTATAGAATTCAAACTGGGATGTGGGTGAAAATTATAACCTTAGAATACTCAAGAAATAAAGGAAAGAATTTGACAATTTGGAATGAGAACTATTGTAATTCAAGAAAGTGGTTCTTAAATTTTGGTTGGACCAGACATTAATAAAATTTTGACTCAAAAAGAATAATGGAATGCTAGTAATTTCAAAAATAAATCAAATAATAACAATAAGAAGATTTTTTTAAAAAAAATTTCGGATTATTGTTTTGACTTTTTTTGCTCAGAAATTTGACTACGATACTAGCAAAAGAA